CTCTGCTTTCCACCAGCTAGCCCCTGAAAACACAATGCGACTTATTTGACAGTCTAAAGAAAATCAGACAGGCTCTCAATACACTAAAGAGGTGAGAGCTGCAGGGCGCTCAATAGAGAGGCAATTCATTCATTATGGCCGTCACAGCAGAAGGAGGCTGGACAGAAGAGGAGGGATGGCGGAGGGGGAGCGACAGATAGAGGAGGGAGAGAGAAGAGGAATTAAGCGACGGAGAGGAGTCTGAGGTAGCGAGAGGAAAGGTTGGAGTAGGTCGCTTCTTTCTCTGACAAGCTCTGTTTATGTGTGCTGCTTTCCAAAAGCTCTGGACTGTGTATGTCCAAGGAAAACATGAGCAGGAATTAGCAGTCCCACCAGACTAAAGCTTCACTTTATTGGACGTTGTGTTTATAGAAGGCCTTTGTTTCTGCGTACTGACCTGTGTTTCATTTACAGGACATTTTCTGTTTATCGCAGCTGTTTTGGGCCGAGACAGGATGTGCACACCCACGTTTTATTTAGTTCTTTTTTTTGCTTTTTAAATGCAAAGCTATGAGGTTTTTTATCTCAATTAAAAGCTGCTTTTTTTGCCTTTTATTGCTGACTGATACCAAGTCAGCACAGAAGGAGTTGCTTACATCAAAGAACATAAAGCATTTTATGTTTTACTTTCAAAATAATAAAAAGAGTCATTCTTGTGAAGACTCCGGCAGACATATGATGCCGCTGATTGATAAGCTGTTGTTGTTCACTATAAAACAGCATGCAACCTGGCTCAGATAGCGTGTAAAACTGCAAACCTATGCTTTTTCTTATTCCAGCACATAACTTTTAACTGTAGGCAGCTGCTACTGAGTTTTCCCAACAACAATGTTTTCTGGCATAATCCCTTAGACAACTCTAAATTTTAGGTGTCAGTTTCTCCTGATGACTGGATTGTCCTCATCAATAAGTGGATCTCTCAGGATTTTCTCCAGCTCAGAGGGGATGAAACGAAGGCGACTGGTTTCAGAACACCACAACAAGAGGACCGTCTGTCCTCATGATACCTCACTAACCTAAACACAACTCAGTACAGGTGTTCTCCACCTCTGACTGCCTGTAAAAGCGCACTTTAAACCCTGCTACCCTCTATTCTCTGCTGTTTGTATATACAGTGTCCTCCAAAAGTACATTAACAGTGGAGAAACTGATGTTTTTATTACGGGCTGACTGTAGCTATTTATATGCAAATAGTGTACACATAGACATCCAAACGTTAAATATATGCCCAAGAGTATCGTATTCAGTTTAAATGTCTGTAAAGCGCTTTGCCCCCTTTTGTTTAGGAATTGCCCTGCATAAATAAGATTATCTTGTTTTTTTCCCCCAAAAAAAATACCATCGAATGCCTTATTTTAAGCTTGCCAATCTGTAACTACACATTGTACTCACAGACTGAATATAAGAGGTGGACGTAGCCTCCAGGTCTGAAAAATGAAGCCCACGCATTAGTGTCTTAAACCTGCAATGTTTCCAATGGCCAGCAGGGGGCGACTCATCTAGTTGCACAAGTAAATACAATTGTATAGAAGTCTAAGCCAAAACGACGCTACTTCTCCCCTGATCTGTTACCTCAGTGAGTATTTTCCTCACGTGTTTATGGTTTCAACCACTAGCTTCAAGGCCTTTTTGAATCCAGTGTTGAATAATTTGGTGAATTATGTTCCATTTATAATAAAATAGATGATAAAGCTGCTTTGCTTATTACATCAGGTTTAAAAAAAGAAAAAACAAGATAGTGACAGTTAAATGCCAAACTTGTAGCTTCTAAACAGTAGTCCACGAGCCAGTGCGCGACATCGCGGTCACAACGTCCATTTTTTATTTACCATCTACGGTTGTATCGTTAGCATAGCATAGTGAGTGTAGCCTTCATAGACCCATCTGAACCATTAATGCGAGAACATGCTGACAGAATTACGTTTAAATGTCTTTTTTTGTTCACATTTCCATTAAAATGTTTCAGCAGCAACATATTACAGTGGCATACAGTCACTGCAAAAACATCACACTTCAGTGGCTTAGAAACAACAAGGAAGTCATTGTTTTATGGAAACAGTTCCCAACATTTAGTCAGTTTATACCTATGAATGTTAAGTTGTTTAGTAGTTTGTTTCTAAAGGCCCCAAGAGGTAAAAACTATTTATTTTTTTTCACTAAAAAGAAGCAAAAACCTAAAAAAAAAAAAGGTACAATTTGTTAAGCAGAAATGTCTCCTCCCTTCAGATTAATCTTGAAACCTTTTCAAGCCCTAGATCCTGAACAGGGACACACATTCTTCACTAATGTTATGTATTTGGTACCAAAAATAAAAGTGTTGTGATCACAAAACATCTGCCACCACAGTTACAGCCTCGGGGTCGTATGTGTTCGCCAACTTGTCAAGTTGCTGTTTATATCCATGTCGGCCCAGACTTGACCTTTATCCTTTTGGATATAAAGTGTCATCATTTTATCCTCATTGGCATCCATGTAAAATGTTGTCATAATCAGTTTATGAATTATTGAGTTATGGTCATGTTTTGACATGTTTTGCAAGGTCACATTGACCTAATCAGTTCCAGTTCAAGTTCAAGTGGATGTTTGTGCCAATTTGAAAGAAATTCCTTCCAGCCATTCATGAGAACAGGGCAGACAGATGTATAGGCAGACAGACCAGCCAAAAAACCCTAATGCCTCTGGCTTCAGCTGTTGCTGGTGTGGAGGCAAGAAAAGCACATCTGATACCTGCTTTTGATAAGATTCTTCATGTGTTTCCAGTAAATCTGTGTTTGCATTCTACCTGTACAGTGAGACAGCTGGCCCGGTAAACAGCAAGAAACAGCTGGATACCCGTCGACACAGCTGGCCGTGGTCAGATCATATATCAGCACAGATATTAAGTGTCAAGCCGGGCACACACTCTTCAACATGAACTACACTCTGTTCTGCCTGTCAGTTCACTGCAGCATGTTGTAATCACAGCTTTTCTCACTGCAAGAATCATTTTTCTCTCGTCTGACATTTCCCATTTATTTTCAAGAAACTTTCGAGCAAATCTTTTCATGTGTTCCGTCTCGTGTTTCATAATTCAGGGGTCTAATGCGCTGCAGTCTATTGAAGTGAGTTTGTAATGTCTGTGTGGGTTTAAACAAGTCAGCATTAAAAGGGAGTTGTACATGTTGAGGTACGTTTTCATTTGTAAGACTGGAGCAGAGCGTGACTGATTAATCAAATGTTGGATTTACAAAGATACAACACAGATAAAAGCAGTGAAATGCTCATTTTTTGAGAAGCAGGAACATTTCATCTTAAAAAAAAATCTTGTTTTGAGGTATTTATACTCATTTTGGAGAAATTCTTGCAGCAAGTTGATCTGTGTTTGCAGCAGGTTGAGGTTATCTTACTGCACTGGCACGCGTATTTACTTTTTAACAGACAGACGTTTTAGGTTTTATAATGAAGACTTTTTGCAGTACTGTAAAACTAGATTTATAGTATGCAAAAACCATAAAAGTGGACTTGGACCTCAGATGTTTGACAAGGCTGCAGGCCAGCTCAATCTTGTTGCCCAGATCCTTAATGTGTTTGAGGATTGGCTGCTTTACTGTTTAGAAAGTAACTAACTCCGAAACTAAAACACGGAACGTAGCTGCAACTCTGCTGCTGTTTCGTCACACTCCGTTAAGAAATTATCTTTTCCTGCAGAGTTTCGACGTAGGAAGCGAAACGAAAAAAGGAGCAAAAAAACGGCGACCCGCTGACAGAAACGAGGGCAGGGAGGAGAAAAGATGCGGCGGAGAAGAGGAGGACGAGCTGACTGATAGGCCCTGAAATGGAGGGATGTGAAGAGGGCGACTCGGAGACAAAGCCCCCCGAGGCCTGCGAGAGGCAGATAGCTGCCTCCTTCCTCCTCGGTCTTGTCTTCTCAATCGCTGTCTGGAGAAATGCAAATTCCGGTTATCTCCTCTGTGCTAGCAGCGTCTGCGTCCATCCATTCCTCTTCACAATCATCCAGACTTGCTTTCCAAAAGCCAACTCAACTTTCCCAGCGACGGAGGCTCGAGTGCGGGAAACGAGACAGCGATGATAGTGATGATAACAGACACAACAGATTATTTCTTTATTATTCCAGTGGCAGTTAAACGCAGCACAACATCTCTGGAATAGTTGGGTAAGAGCAGGGCTTTAGTCTTTGATGTGATAATAGCTGGTTGGGGTGTTGTGGTTTCGCCGTCAAGACTCAAGTGGAAAATTGCTTTTGCACACTCTGGCGAACACGTCTGCTGTGTCACGTGTCCCGCCCACACATATACACATCTCCTGATACTCACACCTCCTTATCCTCGTCATATCAGGGCTGCACTGGGCCACTTGGCAGAGCGGCTCCTGTTTCCAGTCCAAACCCACCGGCCCGGTTTCTCCTCCAGTGAAGTCTGGTGTGGGGCGGCTGGTGCTGAGTGTTGGGAGTGGTTTGTTTTCTTATCCCCCCCGGTCTAGCAGACTATCCCGCGGAGGTGAGAGCTGTAAATGGTCTCGTATCAGGCCGACTGCTTTGGCTGGCAGAGTGCTGTCGGTGGTTTTGTTCTGCGGTCGGTGCCAGACGAGTCTTTTCAACCCTGAATCTACTGATTTAGTTTCCCACAGGCAACATCTGAAGAAATAACTTATTGTTTGGCCCCTTTTTCGGTTTTCAAGGGTGAGGGCTCTTTCCAAAGTAACCGCACCACACTCACAGGTACACCACGTACCAGAAACACACTCAGACTCTCACATACATGCCGTTGTTTTCTTCTCCGTTTCAGAAATGCCTCTGCACTCCAGACTCATTTTATGAATCTCAACCACATTCCCTTCTAAACCCCACAGCAATAAAAAACTGTCTGTGTACAGTCTAATAAGCCAAGCACATACAGTATATCCAATAATAACACTAATAACTACTATTGGAAGAGCACAGTCCAAGAGCAGTGTTCACTTACCACCAGTCGCCACGGTGATTTCACGCAGGAAATGTCCATAAAAAGGGAAATCGAAGGACAGATTAACTCTCTGTGAGGGGAAAAAACAGACAGATGACCCCAGTCAGAAAGATAAAGGTAAGAGAGGATCCAAGAAGAGACTGTTCTCATCTTAAAAACAACCAGAGGATTTAGATCAGAAGGAAAATGTGGAGAGAAAATACCGAGGTGCCCGGTGTATTACATCTGCTCTGCTTTGTGGAGTAATCCCTCAGTAGAAATGCAGAATTTAAATGGAAGAAACACATCATGACCTTTGGCACACATTTTGTTTGAGAAGATAGAAAATGTGCAATTCTGAATAAGTGATGGTTCCCACTAAAATATACAACAGTATGTTTATTAATGAGGAGTCAGGCAGTAACGGCACTTATTTAAGCACTCGGTGAACAAAAGGATAAACGCAGCAGGAAAATGTTTTTTATATCTGACTTGAAGAAAAAGTTAAAAATTTCATGTCTGATGTTGCAGATGTGTGGCACTACACACGAGCACTACACCACGTGTGATTTATGTGTCGTATTGACTATTATAATTTCCCACATGGTGCGTACTTGGTTGTTTCATGACATCCATTCTGTTGTAATGATGTCATGTTAACAAGAGCTGATATGATTTAATAAAATATTACATGCTGTGCTGGAATTTCAGTGCAGTATATTTCTATAAAAAACTGTGCCACAAATAAATACTTAGAAGTCGTGGGGTACTGTAATATTGAAAGACTGTAATAAATAAATAAACAAGCTAATCTCTTTAAATTAATTATCTTTTTAGTGGACACATTTTTTTTACAGTTGGCCAGCTTTTTTTTTTTTTTTACAGCCAATATGTAAATGAAAACTTTTTTTCTATGAGTATACAAGATATTATCAGTAATTTATTATATATATGTTTATACTTATATATATNTATGAGTATACAAGATATTATCGGTAATTTATTATATATATTTATACTTATATATATAAGTACATGTTATTTAAAATATATTTAGCATCTTTTCTGTCCTTAAGACTAATATCTTTTTCTTTCAAAATATATTTTTTAAATATTTTTTTGCAACTTAAATACAGTAAAAAAAAATGTTTTGTTTTACAATCACACATTATGAAGGAACAAATTCATATTTGAAAAAAAAAGAGACTTCTGACATTATGTACAGTTTTGTCCTAATTTTTACAGTTAACATGTGAACTTTTTTCTGCGATTCTGTGATTCCACAGAAAAACAACCAAACAAGTCTGTTCCCTTACAACTGGAGAACATGATTTACAGGCTGGAGGAATTCTGCAGCCCCACAGAGCTTCGTTTGATATTTTGTGACATAATTTCACCTTTCGATATTGCAGTACAATCATAACGAGATTTGAAATTTTAATTAATTGTTTAGCCCTATTCCTGACAACACATTTTACAAGTTGGTTTGTCAAAACTCTTCTGAATTGAAATCTTGAGATCTATTAAATCAACGTAATGTTATTTGCTATTTCAGAATAATGAGCTTTGCCTAAACTTGACATATTCTTCCATCATCTTAACTAAAGATGTTTAATTTTGACTCTGTATCTAATGATTTTTACTTGTGTCTTTTACTTCTTATTCTTCTGTTTCTAGCAGCTTACATTAGCTTACATACATATTTACACATATTTTCACATAATCAACACACAATAAAGTGAACTTAGAGAAACCACGGTATTCTAAAAAATAACTTGAGAAACAATCATGACCGCAGTCCACGTTTTACATGTTCATTATTGTACCACTGGACCGACTATGCTCCAGTTACTGCCAGAAGATATTATGGAGATAGTTCACAGTAAACATGCGGCTATTATACATGGTCCTAGATTATGCCAGGGGGAGTAATCCTGTGGCAAACCACTGAAGCTCACAGACCGTATAGCCAATCCGGAGCTTAACTTCTCTGCAACACTGTGATGAAGTTGACCTCTGCGGCTGTGTTTTGTTTTATGACCTTATTAGCCAATTTCTTTTAGTGTCGGGGCCAAAGCACTGCCGGGCAGCTGAGCTATGAAGCGCTGTAAGTGAGAAAGCTCTCAGAGTTTTATGCAGTTTCTCAGGGCTTTAACAGCCACCATAATAATGTCTATTTGTTTAAAAAGTTAGTCTGCTGACGCAGTGCCACAGATCATTTCAGCACAGATGGTTTTCCCGTCTTATTGCGCTATAATCTCACAATCAACCAATTCATCCAAGATCCAAATGCGTCCTTTTGACTCTAAATTGCTTGAATGACCGTTGAATTGGGAATTTCACTTATTGATTTTTCTCAGATGAGACCAAAGTCAGAGAAACCTCCCACACCGTTGCTGTACTGTTTGAAGGGAAAAGCCTCACCTCTTTGCCAGGACGCTCTGAGGTTAAAATGAATAGCTTGCCTCCAATTGTATGGTTCAATCCATCATTATGTGACTGAAGGTAGAGGAGCAGAATGCACAGTGTGGGACTCTATTCTATCTCCTCTCCAGCTATTGTTCACCCTGGGTTCGCTCTCTCTCTCTTGCTCTTTTCTTTTTGCTGCCATGCTGCTCTGTGTCTTTAGTCAGTCGACTGCTGCCGTGTGATCAGTATGCAGCTCACATGGGTCACCTGCTTGTGCTGAGGTGGAGGGAGGGGAGCTTTCCAACTTCACTGCAGAGAAGCTTTTAAACGGTTTAAATGCATAAAGAACACTTTGCTGTTTTTTTTAAAGCTAATGTTCATGCTTTTACCATAAAGGTAAAAGAAACAAAAGCGCTGTGGCAGTTTTAGTCACATCTGTGTGGCGACAAAAACTTCAAAAGTTCTTATTGAGAATTTAAAGAGCAATTCAAGTCTTGGGGTTTCTTTTACTCAAGTATAATAGACACTTTTGTTCATGAAATGGTCAGACGTAGGAGGAAAAAATGCATAGATTTCTCTTAAATACGCACCGGTCATGCTTAGTCGCCCCCCAAATATCATTCTAAGCCAGGAAAAAACCTGCTGTCCTAATAAAAGTTGGAGCTTGTGCATAAAGCTCGAGCCAACGTGTATCTAGTTCTATCTGTTTTTCATTTTGAGTGCACGTCGCTGCCAAAGCTGACCTGCTAGTGAATACCAGTAGCTGAAGACTGATCTGACTGTTGTCGTAGCGTGTGTGTACATGTGTTTGTGAGCAGACAGGATCTCCACATGCAGGCTGTGTGCAGGATGTATTGCATCAGGTAAAATGCATGATTAACTTAATAACACAGCAGCGTTCAATTCCTCTCCTCAGCTATGAAATAGAGATATTCTTAGCAATGCTTTCTACTGACTTTTACTGTGCAGGGATGTGACAAAAATCGATACTTCTGTACCAAGTCGCAGCTAAAATTCTGACAATGTGACAGTAGTTGGTCCTATAAGCTAGCGTTCAGATCTGAACTAATGTAATCCGTGAGGTAAAATTACTGTTTTTGTCAGAGGAGTCTGATGGCTTTGCAGAGAGCGATATAATGACTCCAATACTCTGCTGGCAAGGTCTGTCTGACGGCAAGGTAGAGCAGCGAAAATATTCTAACTATAGCATATACTTAAACTGATATTGATTTTTCTTTTTAGGTCGCACACTATGTCTTGCTGCTGCCTATATCTACAGTAGTTTATTCTACGGTGGTGTGATCATCTGCTTCTCTAAACTGAGGAGGTGACAACCACCGTCTACTGTAGGTTATATACTGACTATAAGTAACTCATTATCTCCATCTCTTGTTTGCAGTGTTGACAGTAGTTGCCGATGCTGGAATAGCAACCTCTCCTGATGCACCTGTATTTGCATTATGAACGCCTTCTTACTAAGAAAAGACCTGTGATTGGCCAACGTCTTTTAAAAGCATAAGGAGGTGTAGAATTCTAGTTTCCTCACAGAGAACTTAAATAACAAACCACATCACCAGAGGACTGTACTACAAAGCCAGGTTAGTGGGTTCATGAGGTATGTTGAGCTCCAGTCAGAGTTTTCAGTCTCATGAAGGTGTCTCTTTTTTAACCTGCTAGATCACCATGGTAACTGATGCTGCACAGCTAACCTGCTGCACAGGAGGCTCTGTTCAGAGTTTCAGAGAATCTAAAATACAGATTCTCAGCTGAGGGAATATGGTGTATTTGAAAAACTGTTAAACACACTGTATGTGCTGCACTGCTGTGGGAACATCTCTGTTTTTCTGCGTGTTTTTATGCTTGGTCTTGCTTTGCTACCAAGTCCTTTTTACACTGCTGATGCTGCAGCTAATAAAATACAGATTAGAAAATTGATTAGTCTTTCTATCTTTCTATATATATATATATATATATCACAGAGAATATTCAATCAATAACATCAATTTCACTTTAACGTGGCCAAAAATGAAAGTGATATCTTTCATTACGAGACAGCGTCTGATCGAAATCCACTTCTTCAATATCATATTTAAATTAATGAAGTTTCAAGTTTCAGAGCTCTCATGTGCAGCTGTCACAGTAGATACAAGTGGCTGCCTTTACATATATTAAGTAGTAAAATAAATATATAAACAGTTTTCCTCTCTTGCAGCGTTTGCTGCAGCATAATAAATGTTATATATTCGCCACAGCTCTCCGTTATAACAACCTGCTGCTGTTGACTGTAGCACATGATCCGTCCATTTGGAGAAAGAGTCACATGAAGCATTAAACATCCCCTTTAATGTGGGCAACATCTGAAGAAGAAAGAAGTGGATTCACAAAGAAGGTTGATAACCACCGCCCTGATGCTCATTATCTCTGACTGGGGTTTTATGTTTTGCCAAGCTGGCTAACACAAAGAAAGCCTGGCCATGTCAAAGTGGATTCGTAATAGATCTGTATTGCTAAAGCTGGGGTAGGCAGTATTTACCTGTGTGTAATACCACTGGGCATAAATTCCATATTAATAGGCATGTTGTAATTAAAGTGGTCTGAGAGGAAACTAGACTTCTGCGCCTTCTCTTGGCTCCATTTTCAGGTTGTACAAAATCCAGTGTGTGATGGGAGAGTTCAATCAATCACAAGGCTTTTCACCCAGAGAAGGTAAAAGAGCATAAAGAGCAAAACTGAGAGTAAGACGGAGGACTGACACCGAGAAAATGGGGTTCAAATCCCTGGCGACGCTACAAGTGAATGTTAACATTTTGGCAATCTTTGTGCCGCTCTGGTTGGAGGGGCTTGTAAGAGACATTTCATCCTACTGCTCAACTCACATTCAGCATCAAGTAAATCTCCTCTCATGCCGTTTGTTGACTTACCGCCGCTTGTCTGTGTGTGTTGGACAGAATCCCGTGGATCTTCACTTTGTCCTTGTCCATCTGGTCAATATTTACCCACAAGTCCTTGGTCATCGGATCTGATGGGCCGTAAGTTTTTGATGTGTAGTAGTTGTGATCTGTGTCCTCCTAAAGAGTAGCAAAAACAAAACTGTCTGTAAGTGCTGAGTTTACATACCGGCCTCAGTGGAAAGAATGTGAAGAGGTGCAGTACAACAAATATGATTTAGAAGAATGTTACACAGCTTATAGGAGGGAGCTGATATTGCTGTGCTGCTCTGTGAATTACACCGAAGGACTCTGTGCACTTAATATACTATATACAGTAATGCAAGCATATATTCATAAAGAGACATCCTGCAGCTCATTGTTCCTCTAAGCCGCCTAATACACTGTTCGCCATAAACAAAAACGAAACGCAGGCTTACGGAAAAAGTCAATAACGTGGAGTATTTTTAATTTTGCTGCAGAACAAATTACTTGGTAAATTAAATTAGAAGACAATACAATCATTTGCATTACACTGTGTGCGCGTTCGCTCGTATTTTATATATTCCACTCAAGCACAATCAGCACATCCACTGGTTTAAATGTCTCCTAATCAAATTAAAATAAGCCAATCAGCTTCTTCCACTCTCAAAAAAAGCTTGTGGCAGACTGCGCAGTCAGGACCGCGTTTTATAACAGAAACATTCGTGGACTTTTATAAGCCGTGTGGGAGAGGCCTGTCTGCTTTTATTGTTTCCTGTGCAGAATTAGGAAGAATGCTTGTATCGTCTCTTTCCCTCTGGGTCTAATGAGATACCTTACAGCTGTGTCTTTTATCTAAAAACACTGGTAAAGTTAGTGTTTTGCTCGGCGGGGAGTCAGTGAAGTGTACACTAGATTTGACTGTGATCTGACTAATAGGAACTCAACAGCTCTGCAGATTCTTTGATATAAAGGTGGTGTTATTCAGAGCTGCTGCGCTTTGGTTGTCAAAAGGCCATGAGACAAACATTAATTAAAGCACAATCCTTCTCTGCTCGGTTCGTTTTGCTTCAAGGACTCACATTTCTCTTGGAGAGTTATAATCTAATACCGCCACTAAATATTCACTGTGGAGTATAAAAACGAACAGAGATAATGTTGGAGGCTTAGCGGAGCCTCTGTGGGATTGATCAATATCAGAATCCCAAATGGAGTTCAGTCATGTAGGTGGTGTTACTTTTGATTAATTTGTAGATTTAAACAAACACTGCCAGAAGCTTTTCATCGCAGCTTAAAGTTCAGACAAATCATGTCAGGGAGAAAGGCCCCTCCAGGCAGCCTTATTCAGCACATTGCTTGCAGAATAGAAAACAAGGCCACTTGTAAAAGGAGTAGACACAAATGCGAGGCTGTAAAGTTTCCTGCTAATCAGCACAAGATGATTTTGGTCTCGTGGAGAAGGCTTGAGGGAGCCAAAGGCTTCTCGGAGGTGAGGGGGGCCAGCTGGCAGTTCTTCCCCTCAGGGGGAAGCGTGGAGGGGGAGGTGGGCAGGCTGCCATCGTCCAGCTGGGTGTAGGTGGACACGAAGCTGTGAGGGCTTTTCAGCAGCACAACAAACAGAGTACAAGGAGTTTGACCAGTGAAACAGACAAAAATACACAAATATACAAAGGGTTTTGGTGGGAGGTTGTGGGACGGAGGTTCTGGTTCTTTAAATCAGCCACAAAATGTACCAGCCAGCGAAGAGTAGTACTCGATATCTATGTGTGAAAATACAAACACGGTGTGAAATCTGCTACCGCACTGGCTCGGTTTTCAACAGTCTTTATGGGCGACGAGAACAGGCAGGCCCGAAGCCAAAGATCACACAACATCCCTACTCAGTTATATTTCAAAAGTACTGATTTGTCAAAGTACACTGCAAGTGCGAATTGTTCCAAACACTTGCCCTTCGGATTATCAACCTTTTAAAATACAAAAACAGCACTTTTCTTCATAAAAACATGATTTTTTTTTATACATAACTAAGATAAAACTTTATCATAAAATTTGTCCAAAGTTTGCCAAGTCGAAGCTGCAAGAAACTCCTTTTACTTGATGGTACAGTGGCCTTCATATGCAAACTTGAATTGGAGCGTTTCATAAATCCAGAGAGGCTGTTAGACAAACTTAGCATTTCATTCAATAGAGAAAAAAAACGAGCAGACTCATCCCTGCTGATGTGTTATAAATGTAAAATGTTCCGTGCACAAATCAGCGGCAGAGCAAAATATTTTCAACAAAACTCTTAGAAGCTTAACAGAAGAGATACACATCTCTGCTTTCACCCCAGGACTGTGATTTATCTGAGCCGAATATCTGCAATGTCCATCTGCAGCTTTATGTGGTTGTTGTAAGTCTGTATCATGAACTACAAACTACGGAAAATGTGACATTTCTCTACGAATGAGCAAAGCGATCTACAATGGATTTTAAATATGTACGTGAAATGTATACTCTGGGCATTTCTACATATGTCTTGAATGAAAAAACAAGCATTTTGAACTACGATTTGAATGCATAATGTCTTGTACAAGCCTGTCAGATGTATTTTAATTCACACACATTTACACTCAGTGATGGTAAATTCCAGTTGACCCTCACAGATGCGACTAAAGTGGAGACGCTGCGCTGAAAAGCTCAGAGGAGGCGAACAGAAAATGATTGAGAGGAGAAGATGGACTGAAACCCTGCCACTCAGCTGCAGAGGTTCATCCGTCCTTCATAGACTGAAACACTGGAACGAGATGAAGATGGAGAAAACAGAAATAGCCGTTGATAATGGACCATTTAGTGGCTCCAGTGTTCAAAAACAACCTGCAGAAAAGATTCATTCAGAGTCCAAAAACCCATCCCAGATCCACTCCCATCACCGTCTGAGGCATTTACTCGCCTGCCCACTACATCAATATTGCATTATACTGAGACCTGAATATCCCGTGCCAACATATTTTCACTTCTGAATGGCTCTATAATAGAGTCCATGAGTAAAGGAATTTGCCTTTATGAGATTATTCTGGCTGTTCAACTGAAATAAAAAAGATGGTTCGAGTGTTTCGTAAAACTGAGGTTTACTTGAGTTTTCCAAAAAATAAAGCGAAAGTACAGTAAAAGCTGTAATCCCCGTCAACTGCAATCACGTCTCCGCTCGAGAAGGACTTGAGCTTTGAATAAATGTTTCAGTATGTTGGGATTAAGATGCTTGTCAGCCAGCCTTCTTTCTCCAAACAGGCAGCGCCGTCCTGCACGTAAACACACTCAAATGCACACACGGTCGGGCATATACAGTCAAATCACACGGTAGCTGCCTTGAAAAAAAACATTTACAGGAAGCAATCGCTCATGTGTGCGGCTCTTCTTCAGCTGATAATGCCCGTCATCCATTATTTGTTGCTGCCGCGCCGTCTGCTGTGAGCTGCAGCAGATTGGAAGTATTGGTGGTTAAACGTCAATATATACTGATCTGTGCTGCACCAGAGTATTTCAAATTCTCTTTAACAGTAGGATAGAAACTGAACCAGAGGTCTCCTTGAATACAAAATACCAAAACTCAGCAAGGATAGTCAGACACGATCCAAATAAACCGGAGGATAACTACGCTGGGTCAGAAAGATGCCAGAGGATTAGTACCGCATGGAGGGCTGCAAATAACAATCCATCTTTAGATTATTTTCCCAACAGTCCAAAAAACAAATGTCTTAAGTTTATTGTTACAGAAGAAAACCATAATAGATACACAAGAGACCTGTCAGGAACTAGTGAATGTGCTGCATGAGGCTGTGTTTTTGCATATTTTTTTTCTCCTAAATTTATGTTTTTTGTGCTATCAAAGTTGGAGTGCGTTGACCTCTCAGGGTCATCGTATCGTTTCCTTCAACCAGCCAACTTACTTTCGTGTCTAAACCCAATCAACCATAGTGCATTCACATCATTATTTTTTGTGTACTTATTTTTCCAGTCAAGCTACATTAATAAATTTATAGTTCCTGCAAGATGGAGCAGTGGTTTGCATTGTTGCCTCGCAGCAAGAAGGTTGCCGGTTCACGTCCTGGTGAGGATACCCGGGAGTGGAGTTTGCATGTTCTCCCCGTGCAGCGTGGGTTCTCTCCGGGTTCTCCGGCTTCCTCCCACACAGTCCAAAAACATGTCAAGGTTAATTGGTGATGCTAAATTTTCCTAAGGCGTGAATGTGAGTGTGCTTGGTTGTCTGTCTCTAAGTGTGGCCCTGTGATAGACTGGTGACCTGTCCAGGGTGTCTCCTGCCTTCACCCTGAGTCAGCTGGGATAGACTCCAGCCCCCCACGACCCTAGTGAGGATTAAGCGGTGTATAGATAATGGATAGTTTTTTGTACGGTTTTGATATTAAGTTAATAGATTTCACTATTTTTTGTAAATTAAGTCTTGCAGCTGAATATTTTTCTTCTTTTCTCCTCTATGACAGCAAACCGATTATCTTTGGGTTGTGGACAAAACAAGACATTTGTCATCTTCGCAAAACATTGATTGACATTTTTTTCACTGTTTTCTGACACGAATCAACCAAAAAATAAAAACAACTCATCGGCTAATGGGGAAAATAATCAAAAGATAAATTGAAAATAATCATTAGCTGTGGCCCTATTATTTAGCTGTGACTTCTTAAACATGACTAATGAGATCAGAAAATGCTTCTGCTGTATGTTTCTTGTTAGAGGACAAACACGGACAAACAAAGCTATTCATTTATACCCTATTGGGTATTTGACACGTCGATAAACAGACACAAGACCAGACGGAGACCCTACTTAACCTAATGAGCCTGTATATAATTTGGACTGGGCCCAAACTGGGCTACACAGATCCGCATGTACCCACAAAGACCTCCACTAAGTACAAGTGATTTACCACTAAGGGAAAATAAAATGATCCAGAAATGGTGGATAACTCTTTCAGTTTTTGACAAATATGACCAAAAGGGTTTACAGTTGGCTAAATAATCATGTGCACCGTTTCAAAAAGGGATGGAAATATTGGAGAATGAATTCAGTAAGCAGTCTGAGGTGAATCCAGGCATCTAATGTATAATTTAAGCGTACTCTCCTCTGTGGTTGTACTGTAGATCTCATGAATTGACTCAAAA